AAAAAGATGTTGTCAAGCAAACTACCCAGTTGAAAAAAAAAAAAAACATTTTAGAATTTGTCTCCTGGTCAACCTGGTAAGTAAGCATTGGGCTAAATTACTAAATAATTTGGACGAATTCCGATGTATAATCATAAGAAATATATGATTGTTGGAAGAAATAAAATCTAAATGTCTTATGTAAAAATTCATCAAGATCAAGGTGCTAAACATTGGAATTACTATCTTCTAAGGGATATAAATGACCTAGAATAGCATAATAATGAAAACCGGCAGCTATTACCACAAACAAATGCCATATGGCATGAGCCATTGGTATCAGACCGTCCGATTTAAAGAAACATATCCCCACAATATAGAAAAATCCACCCAATTTAAGTTCTGTCATACCAGGAAATTCATGACCCGTCCCGAACACTGCTAAAGCCGGGCCTAATCCCATGAGTATGTAAAAACATGTTTCCAAACATTTAAATCGTTCGTGAAAGATCTGTAAAAAAGGAATAGTTTCTATGATTTTTTTTAACCTTTTCCATCCATCAACAAAATACCTGTTGATATGTGATACCAATTGCTGCCATTAACCAAATAACCCATTCCAAGCATATGAGAAGCGCGGAATGGTTGGGATTCTCTAACTGCAGCCAAGGAAAATATGACGCAGCTATGAATATGTAAATCATAGCACGATCACAGCGATGTAGAACATTTTTGATACCACTAAAAGTAAAAGAGTGCAGCTTAAACATTTTTATTAAATGAACCGATATATTGTGTCATGATATTATAAACAAAGTCAAAGTTAAAATAAAAATATATAAAAAAGAAATTTAATTAAAAAATCTAGTATGGAAGATGAAGAATAAATATCTTTTAATAAGAGCTGAATTTTCTTTATATTTTTATACCTTTAGATATTCAATGATCAAAAATAACTTCTTATTATAGCTTATTGCGGACGACAAGACCTATATGAGATTCCTTAAATGACCCAAGCCTACATTTATGGACAGCGCTTTTGACTTGGAACAAAAATGTATTGGTCTTAATAGAGAAAATTTCTTATGCATAGATTTATTCGTGTATCTAATTATTAGAATACAAAATGCCAATAGAATGTCAGTTAGAAAATGTTATACAAATATAAATTCGTAAACTACGGAAATAAACGATTAATATATATCCCGATTCTCAAATAAGCAAGTCTAATATATAAATGTAACCAACCCGACTAGTATAGTTGTCTTTCCCTTAAAGACCAAACTTTTAACAAATGATTGCAATTTACGTATGTATTTACGTGCAATTGTAATAGATTGCAATTTACGTATAAAAATAACACTATGACGCATGCATTTTTAATTTACTGTGTGTGTCTCTTGCTTTAATTGGCATTTTATTAAGCGTCAACCATTTCTCTTTATAAGACCAGATTTCTACAGTTGACAAGAGGACATTGTTTGCAAACATGCATGAGGTTTCCAATCTTTGCTGACAATATTAGCGTATAGCATTAAGTGGCTATAAAATCAAAGCGGCTGTTTATCAATACCAGGGAAGTTATTGGCAAATATTTTTTACATTATTATACTTACACCTTATTATCACAGAAACAGGAACAGTGGAAACCTGTTGATAACGTAAAAAGCAGAGTTAAAGCTCCTCCATAAACCCATGATACTAAATATTGGCTCGACGTTTTAGATCGTTCGAATAACTTATTGGCACATATTACTGCGGGCACAATCCAAATGCCATGGGTTAAGACATTTGCTAATTGCTCAATCTACAATAATAAAATAAAAATCGTATAAATGACAATCATTGTTTCTTTCAAGTTCTCGTCTTACTCTGTTGGCTTGTATGCACAGCCTGGGTCAGCTTTCTTATTCTTCATTTGATATTTTCAATTGCAGTTTAAAAGTTGAATTTGATTTCGTCCATGACTTCCACAATTTGTTAACAGGTTGTCTAGAAAGGAGTACTTGTTTTGGACTTCCTGTATAACGGTTCTCATAACGCCTCGTCTTTTGTTTGCAGCCACTCTTTTAAAAATCTTCAACATCAAAGATTTATAGAATATTCCAATTGTCACAAAGAAGATTTTAAACAATAGCCAATGGTTATTGTTGCGATTACAAACGAACAAATGGATTAGCTTTACATGCACACCAATTTATTTTCTTTCAGTTTATAAAGAGGTGAGATATCACAATAACAGACAAATCGATTACTTTATTGTTATTATTGAAAAGGTACTATTGCGGCTCGCTATCTAAGCGTATTTTTTATTATTGCTAGTTGAGTATCTTATCTGCGTCGGTGCTAGACGGTAGCCAAAGTTCATTATCAGTTACAAAAGTAGAAAAAACCAAATTTTATTATTATTGTTTCTCATTAATCCAATTGTTCGTTACTAATCGGCATGGGAACAAAATAAATCTATATGAGAATATTACCTTATGATATTGGTACCTGCCACAAAGTATAGATACGTTTGTATAAGTTTCTTGTGTCAGTTTAACAAATCATTGCATTTGGCATAGTCCTTCCTCGATTTGGGTACACAATTCTTCTTTTTTGTGGATAAATTAATTTAGTTCCCTATCGAAAAATTAGATATGAAAATAAGATAATGTATTCATTATGTTTTGGTTATTTAGACGTATTTAGTTTTGTACTGCTGTTACACCACTTAATGGATCACATTTGAATAAACTAGAATTCAAACGCCTTGTGAGGAATTATCAAATCAGCCACAGCTGAACATAACTTTATAACCATATTAATAAAAGCTGACATCGAGCAGTACCCGGTCCCATTTCCACCAAAACCACTTGTGCATAAAAGCTCAATATTTTAAAGAAACTCACTAGACACCCCAATAGCGTTCCACTGTTTCTCTTGCCAATGCGAGGTATGCGACACAGCCGAACCGGGTAATTAAAGCTACTTTAAGACGATTTAAGAAACTAACATTAGACTTAAGCATCTCTCTGTTTAATACCCCTAACGTACCATGCGCAACCCATATTCACTTCGGCTGTCAATGTTTTCGAAAGTACCTACATGATAAAGAAGTATGACATTGCATGGAATGGAATAGTGCTAATATAATGCATAAAACATGTGATTAAGAAATAATAAAATTGCATGGAATGACTCGGCATTAGAATATGAAAAGAGAAACAACAGCACACCATTCCTATAACATGATTTTATTAATACCGCGTACATCGTAAGGCTAGCGAATATAAACAAAAACAGGTATTTTAATGAAAACAAGTCAACTGTACAAAGTTCGTATTCCATTTAAAATTATTAATACGAGAGAAGAACTACACTATTTAATTGAAAATTTGTATAACATATAGTGAAAACTCAGTTTGTCAAAAAATATACATCTGAGCATATTTACCTATTCCTGCTTTATTATGGCGATTTCCTCCTATTCTCTTTCTAAACAAAGCCAATCTGAATGTTTTTATTTATGTTATATAGTATGTATGGTACGAATGAACGTAAATATGAATGTATATAGGTACCATCCATGTATACTGAACATCAAAACAAGAGATCAATATTAAAAACAGAGCAAAGGTGTATGATGATTCCAGCCCGAATTTGCCAATATGCTATACTGTAATTAGATTATTCCAAATTTTTTTCCACAAAAATCTTGTCGCTAAGCCTTCGCTTTTGAACATGTACACTTAAGAAAGAAAATGGTAATCGCACACATGCACAACAAACATTCGTAAATATTTACACATTGGCTTTTGCGGGGAATGAAATTTTAATTTAATTATAATCAAACATATTCTGTAATCACAATGCATAAAGTTATCGTAAAAAGGGACCAGAGCCCTCACTTTTTTATTTGTATAAATCAATTTGGACTTTGAGACGTTGATTTAAATTGATTATTTATTACCGTTAATTCATGCTTTTGACAGCTTTTTGGCACTCGGCAATAACGAATTGTTTTCTTATTGCTTAAATAATTTTGTAAAATCAATCAATCCATTCCACGGAGAACCTAGCCACATGAAAATAAAACCAATAACACAACCTAGACCAGCCAGCACACAAAATAATTGCAAAAACACAAAGGTTGCACGAATAGTTGCCATATCTGGCAAATTTTGACAATTACATATCTATGATATATGCGGCCTAAGAGCGTGTTTACATTACTTAAATCTAATAATATTCCTTTTAGTCCGTTTACACTACATTAAAAAAGGTTTTTAAGCATACTACGCATGGTAGAAAAATACAGGTAGATGCATCAGAGCTTTGGAACATTGATATGTCAAAATTTTTTAAATATTTCTTCAAAAATAAGTATATTTGTATATGTTTTTCTACACGACGCCAATCGGTGGTTGTTGTAACATGCATTTTTTAACTATATTTACAAATTTGAATAATTTTTCATTCAACAATTTCGATTCCAAAATTGGTTTGACAGTTCATTGTCCCAGCAGCTGTGTCGAAGCGTCTACCTATATTCTTCTACCATGATACTACGTTATTTGTTTGCTAAAGTCTAGTTTACACTTCACGTTAAAGTAAAATGACTTTCTCACATTTATATTTTGCATATTTACACTAACAATAATAGAATATTGTTTGCTTTACTCCAACATTTAAATTGTGCGTTTTACGAAGTTTTCGTATTTATTTGAAGTAAATTCAAAGGAATTGACAATGTAAAGAACGTAAATGGTGTACAGTCTATACAATAATAATAATTAAAATAGGAAAAATTTAATTTATATGCGACTCTAACATGACTTTGAGAATGTCTTTTCAAAGTTCCCTTGTTTGTCGTGCGAAGATTTCAAGCTGCCTATGTAATCTCGTATTTAGAAATCTCCTGAATACATTTTTTGTTTTATAGTTAAAACATATGAACAGTAATACTCAAAATAAATTCGAAAATTTTAAAATTCCAGCTTTTGGGGAAAAATATGTGTATAAAGTTAAAGGCGTCGGTTTACTTCTTCGAAAATGTTTAAAATTGGCCCATAATCCATACTTGTTCACCCCACGCTTCTTTGTTCTTTTAAAAAGAATCCATCTAATGACTTAAGCCAGTACAAAAACAGTTAAATTTTAATTTGGTCATGATAATACATTAGAAGATGCATTTTATATACCCTCCACCAAAAAAAGTATGGAGGGTATATTAAGTTCGTCATTCCGTTTGTAACTCATCGAAATAATCATTTTAGACCCAACAAAGTATATATCAGCGTAAAATTCTAAGACGATTTAGCCATGTCCGTCCGTCTGTCCGTCTGTTGTAATCACGCTACAGTCTAAACGAATTAAGATAGGCAGCTAAAATTTGCACAGATCCCTCTTTTGCCTGCAGGCAGGTCAAGTTCGAAGATAGGTTGTATCGGTCCACGTTATCGTATAGCCCCCATATAACGGTACCCCCCGATATTCGGTATTTTGATGATTTTAGCCACATTTTCTAATGGAATGGTCTGAAAATCCACACAAGAAGTTCCTTGTGGGTACTTTATCCCTTGAAAGAGAGTTGTCTATATAGGTCCACGGTATCGTATAGCCCCCATATAACGGATCCCCCCGATATTCGGTATTTTGATGATTTTAGTCACATTTTTCAACGGGATTGTCTGAAATTGTACACAAGAGGTTCGTTGTGAGCAGTTTACCCCCTGACAGAGAATTGTCTATAAAGGTTAACGATATCGCATATCCCCAATATAACGGCACCCCCGATATTCGGTATTTTGATGATTTTAGCCATATTTTCCTATGGTATTGTCTGGAAATCCACACAAGGAGTTCTTTGTGAGCACTTTAACCACTGAAAAGTAATTGTGTATATAGGTTCCCATATATCGGCACCTTCCCATATTTTCAAGATTTTCAGGCATGTCACAGAATGTAAAATCGTTCAAGAGTGAAACGAAAACGGTTTTAGCTTCTCTAAAAAACGGAAAACGCAAAAATTTTGCGTTTTGATATCACTTTCAAAAAGCAGGGTGAAATTGAAATGTTTAGTGATTTTAACGTTGAGATAAAGGATCTGATGCGTTCCTCAACGTTTAACACATTTTTTAATGGATTTTATTTTTTGAAAAATTTCTAATTCGTTCCAAATGGTGGAGGGTATTCAAAGTTCGGCCCGGCTTTTTTACTTGTTTTTAAATTGTTTGCTTTCAGAAGTTCACTAATATGAGTAAACACTTATTTTTCAACATAAATTGTCTCTATATTTGTTTTTTTACACATTTTAGTTATTTTGCTTGTGTATTTATGCCATGGTAGAAGAATACGGGTAGCCTCATCAACACTGCTGTTGCGACAATGAAATGTCAATTTTGGAATTTAAATTTTTAAATAAAAAATTATTCAAATTTGTAAAAAATGCTTATAACTTATACAAATCTACTTATTTTTGATGAGCGTTGAGCTACCTGTATTCTTTTACCATGATTTAGACGTAAACAAATATCAGCTGAGCGGCATTTATTTCTCCTAATGCTAAGTTCACATGACACGTGATTTGTGTACTTGCGCCTGAGTGAAGATGGATATCAGTGAATTTATAATAGAGAAGATGGACATAAGTGAAATTATAATAGAGAACGTAAAGAATTATGTGTTCTTGTATAATTCATTGTAGTCAACAAATGAGCAAAAAGTAAACAACTTCATCAGCTGTTTTATAATTTCGTCGGTATTGTGTTCCATACGACGAATTTTCGCGGCTCATTTTGTCGCCGCGTAGGGCGAAATTCGTCGTTCGCTCCAATTGTGTTCCTAGCATAAAGGTGACAA